ATAAGAGACAGCCCACTAACCATCCACCTATGCAACCTGTTTTTTCATAAAGCATCAGTAATTCGAACTGGTTAGAAACAGGAGATGAAACAGGGGCTGATGTTGAAGGCACTAAGCAATTCACATGCACAGTTCTGTTCTCAGCCTCCTCCTGCACAGGCATCCCAGCTGCTTAAATGGTGAAATAAGATACAACAACATAAAGCCTTAGTTTTCCTTAACACACCAGTGTAGACTGGTGTGGTACATGAGACCACACATTTAGCTGGGACTGCAATCTTTTCACCCACAACAAATCACATCTTCATGGCTGATTACTGACAGCCCTTAGCATGGGAAGTCTAGTTGTCTGGGAGAGAGCCCTAAAAAGATGGGAGATGAAAACACTTAAAAGATAACATGACCAGAATCTAAGCCTGGAAAACAGAATAGCAGTGGAAACTTACATTCAAACACAGTATTTTTAAATATCAGTGGGTATTTTACTTCTAGGTTATCACTGCTACTGTGACTAAGTGGATTTCACATAACAAAGCTAACTCATGTTTTTTATTTTAAATCTACTTGCAAACGTGAAGCAGATTTGCAGCTCCATGTGCTCAAACTTACGTGAGGTACAGTTGAGGGCTGCTGCGTTTGAGGGTGGTGTTTTTCTGGGGGTTTGTGTGTTGGGCTTTTTTTGTTTGTTTGTTTTTGGGATTTGTTTTGTTTTGTTTTCCCCTATCTGTCAAAGGACATGGTTTCCTCTAAGATAGTAATAGCCTAACATATTGTGGGAAAGGTTTCTATTATACCTCCCATAGGCCCAGAAGTCCAACATACCAGTGATCTTGAAGATTAAAAATGTGCTAGGGAAGAGTATGTTGGTTTATGTAGCAGGCTGAAGATCACCTCTAATTTCACATCTCAGTAATCCCCATGAAAGGGTTTCAAGTGACAACAGTCTTCTGAAGAAGCAGCAAATTATAACAAAGGTTTCTGAGTGCCAAGTGCATTACCAGGGCACCACAATTCCATCTAAGCAATAGTGACAGTGGCAGTAGTGTAGATTTCAGCCACACACAACAGAAGGGAAGACATGAGGCTGCTTCCAGGGTCTGACAGTCAGAAATTAATTTGACTATGTGAGCATCTGAAAACTGTACTTCAGTTTGAGCTGTGAATCCTATATAAAACAGGTTCAAGAAGGCCCATCTCTTTACAGACCTTCCACAGTTTATATTTTAAGAGCTAAAATGCAGGAGAAAAGATAAGCAGTCTGGGGATTGTGTAAACAAAGTGAACACAGAATAAAAAAAAGTATTACTAGCCTTTTTAAGATGCAGGCTGAGAGTCCCTCAAAGCAGGCATTAACCTGTAACTAAATCTGCATCAGTAGCCCTTTTTCTTCTCCTCTGTTATAAATCTACGTGCTCCTACTGCCCACTGCAAGCCTTTAACATTGCTAGTGAACACAACTGTTTCCAAGCACGGGATGAGGCACACGTTTAACTGCACATTTTCAATCTGCCGGAGCAGGGTGTCCCTCATGCTAAAGCCTGTACTCTCTAGAAACACAGGAAAGTGTAAGACCCTGGCTTTTGGGATATGCACATATTTTTCTAAGGGAAAAGCCAAATGCCAGAATTAAAGAGGTCACTACTCTTCAGCCTGTATTTACACAGTAACTTCAGCTGTGTAAATCTAAGAGTGGACTGCAGCACCAGAAAACTGCATTCAAGTTACAGACAATAACTCAAAACAGGAGGGGACAACCTACATCCTGCAAAAACTGCAAAATAACTTCCAGAAATTTAGATTCAGTTTAGGAAAAAGCCAATATTATTTATAACGTTCGCTCTATATACTACAAAGCAACAAAACTCCTAAGATCCACTCAGTCTCTCCTTGTAACCAGGCATACCTGAGCTGAGTTTTTGTCTACATAGATGTGGATAACTCCTCCATGTTTGTTACATTCCTCAATCACATCATCTTTAATTTCTGTGTCCCAGCCAGCTTCTTCTTCACTGTAGGGGGTGGAAGAACAGGACAGAGATGGAACTGTTATCACTTGGACAAAATCCACCACAAAACCCATCAGAAAAACCTCTGCAACATTCTGATTCCTTTCCCAGATGTTAAAGTCTCCAACAAATGCTAAACAAAACCAGCCAATAATAAATCACTTACGTTTGAGGATTAAACATGTTGGAAAGCTGGAAGCACTGTGTTGCAAGTGGTTGTACAGAAGCAGCTGCAGCCAGAACTGTTGTAATGGAAAGAAACAGTAAAAAGGCTAAGAACACACTATGCATTGCTCCAAACTGAGTATCTTCTATCTATTCTTTAAAATCCTGACGTTCAGCAATAGTAGCAACAGCTCTAACTAAACAGAAAGTTGAAGGCAAAAAAGCAAAATTGTAACTAGACACTATGATAGAGAAATTTTAAATTGATTGATACCAAAAATAGCACAGATGCACTATAACTGAAACTGAAAAGTGAAAAGGTAACTCCGTACGTAGGTTTTGGCATTGTCAATTTAAACATTTAAATGCAGATATATGCATCCCCACATGCATCTAAAAATTCTGCCTAATTTGTATGCCAGCAGCACCTTTTAATTTTTTTCTCCTCATGGAAGCCAAGCAGCAGCTCAGGATGGAGTAGCACCACCCCATCTGACTTCACAGGAAGTGACAGACGTATCTTTGAGATTTCTCAAAATATATTTTAAGCACATTGAATTACCCTTCAAAAAAGTGTATCTGTACTTTTGTTCCTTGGAAACACATAACGTAGGAAGTATCTGACATCTAAAATTATACACATTGTAACTGTAGAATAGATCTAGACTCTTTCCCAGTAACTATGAAATTATTACTTGTCGTTTATTGTTGCTCATCACAGTACATCTTATTAAAAATAAGCACTGTCTTATAAGCTGCCCTTTCCCTAGGCTGTAAGCTGCTGTTAATTTAACTAACAGCCACCTTCTCTCTACATACACAGACATTAAGGGCTGCACAAGTAAGACAGTGACCAACCCAGGGACAGGAACCCCAAACTCCTGATTCTCAAATGGTCCCTCTAGTCCCTATGCCTAATGCAGAAAAAAAACTCCACGCCCAACCACACCCAAACCCACAAACAAAACCACAAACCCACACATTTTCTAGGATTAACATATGGCTGAGAAATGTTACCAACACTGAGGAAATGCTACTAAGAAAAGGCAAAGTGTTTAAAATACATTCTGTTATTTTCCGTCAATAACCAATAGATAGTATGATTCCTACAAACATAAAAGACACTAATACAATATAATTTCTCAGGCTGTTGGCAAACTCTACACCAGAAGCATTTCACTTACAGGTATCTGCAACAAAACCTACTGGTGACAATTTATATCAAATGCTAGTTTACCTTCATTCTGCTGAGATAGTCTCGTTTGTAAATCTAAAAAAAAAAAACAAACCCAAAACAGAAGTTAATCAGTATGCTTGCTAGCATTATTGTACCATTACCTGCCAGACAGGTTGTATTTTTGTGGTTAAGAGCTTGTTCAAGTACCTCAACCTATTCTCACTGTTCCTCTCTAGTTGTGAGTAGTTTCACTAATTTCACCTTTTCCGCTAGAACATTCCATACTTGATAAGAGATTCTACAAAGGTAAACATATTTCAAAAAGAAACAATACCTTAAAAGGAAAGACATGACCATGTCCTTTAATTCAATGTATTGTTTCTACCTTGCCTTTGCTGCACTTGAACTTTGTAAGACATTATTTTGTTCCATGAGAAAATAAAGCAATTCTTACAGGCATTAGATGTTTAGCATCTTTACTAATAGAAAGCATTTAAGGACACAGTTATCCAAATGCAACATTCTGAAAGCAGTTATCAAATTTAATTTCAAGTAGAGTAACATGGTATTTCACCTGCTCTCTTTTCATGTGTCACAATGACACAAGTTACTCTATTTTTCAAATTCAAACATTTTCAAGCGTTCAGTACATTTCATTTGCCAAGAAAACACTAATTACTTGTTTGACAATATATAGACATCCCCATGTGAAGTAATGGGAACAGACAAATGCAGACTTTCTAAGCACTTTTGAGTATATGACTCCAACTTGACATCTTTAAATCAGAGTGCAAGAAATGTGAACACAAGCCTCTTCACTTACGTTCAAATTTAATTCACACGAACACAAGGAGTTAGAAGACTAAAATCATCATATTAAATCACTTGTTTAGAAAGCAATGAAGCGATGGACCCCCAAGTAAGCTTCCAAGCTTACTTGGAAATACCTGAAAGTATATATAATATCAACATACTTTTTCCTTTTCTAATAAATCTTCCTCTACAATACTGGGGGACTGACACGAGGGAATTTTTTTGCTCAAAGTATTGGGCAGTGAGAGCCCTGAAGCCAAGTATCTCCCTCAAGTGCCTTCCAAAGTGACTTCCATAATAGAACACATACTGGGAACCATATTGAAGAGTAAGAGATGGAAGGAGTAAGCTCTGAGGCCTGAACTGTAATAAGAACTGACTGTGCTTAGCATGTTTTCCATCTAGATCTGGAACACAAGGAAATCCTCAACTCCATAGAGAAATACCATAATGGGAAAGGACTATCTTGGCCTGTATTCTCTGCAGAAAATACATGGATTTGGCCAAATCTGTAAGTATTACCTAGTTATTTACTGTGCAAAAGCTTTTGTAAACAAGTATGTTTTAAAAAATAGTAAAACCCCAGATCTCCTAAATCTCTCTAGATGAGGACAGAGACTTCTCCCTCTGCAATTCTGACACAACTGCACACACTCATCATGAGCAGCTGAACTCTCCAGGCGCCCATCAGCCTGGGGCTCTGAAGCCAAATGCTCCAGGCCACCTGCACCACATGTGGCAAATGGACACAGATCACCAGTTCAAATTCTGTCTAGGAACAAGAATCAAATCTATTCTAAACACAGGAAGATCAGCTAACAGTATCTTTTGGCAACACATTTCATAGGTTAATTATCTACCACCTCTGAACCGTAATCCCCTGCCCACCAAATCTTTCATCAACCAACTGAACCTTCTTGTTGGTCTTGACTGAAGAATCCTTCTCACTTTTAAATTCACTCTGAATTTAGAAATTCGTTGTCACTCTTCATTATCAACTCTTATTCTTCCCTACATGCAAATTTAAATATTATGTGGAAAATAAAATTAATACATCCGTCAAGTTATGATCAAAGTAACTTTTTCAGTATGTTCTGGATATATGATCTATGATACATGATCTATGAAAGCAGCAAGTTCAGCATAACTAACAAGTACATGCTTAGTACAGAGAAAGCAGAAATACAGAAATATCTACCAAAGCATTCTGTGAAACAGCTATCTTTAAATAAGCAAAAGCCTGCCAAGTATTCTCCAGTTTTCTAAGTAATTGCTTACAACAGAATAGCAGATCAAATCGACGTCCTGGCTAAGAACACCTATTTGTTCCTCTACTGCAACAGACTATCTCAATCTTTTTCATAAACAGATAGTTCCTTCCCAAAAGCAAAGGATATTTTGTCCCACAAAGCACTAGAAGTATGCTCTATAACCTCATGGTTATTTTTAGATGGAATTTACTGGAGAATAGAAAAGTACACAGCTACAACTGTTTAGCTTCAATCCTTCTCCTGCTGGCTTTTTCTCTGTGGGAATAACGTCCAAGTTCTCAGGTCCCCCATAAAACAAATTCTTTAGCTTCCCTATTTTAGCTTGATTCAACCCATCTTGAACACAGGTGACCAGAAGTGTTCATGTGTACACGTTACATCTCTCATGGTCAAGTATGATACCTCTAGGAACACAGATGCCCTTTCAAAAATGCATCACACTGACAGTTCATACTCATTCACTGATAAACTGGAGTTCTTAAATATTTTCCTCCTCCTTGGCCATCTTTTACTTCTGAGCTCCCAGGCTATACAACTAGAATTTGTTTCAATCATGAACAGGTGAACAATGTACAACACCCCAAGAAACCACTGACACCACCTCTACACGTATTTACTTACCTCACTCCTACTCTTGACCAGTTATTCATATAAATATTAAACAAGATCAGCCCAACACCTGAACTTTGGCTTCAACAACAGCCTCTAACTTTCCCAGCTTTCAACAACAACAACAACAAAATGCCTCTTTATTTGAGCCATCTTCTTTACACATCTTGTACTTCCTGTATTACTCCTCTAAACTTCCAAAGGACACAGCTCAGAAGTTCAGAGTTCTACTACTGCTTCTCTGTCTAGGAAGGTCAGTTTTAATCTAAGACTGTTAAGTCTTAATGTAGTTCCTCTGAAAGTATGTCACACTTTAATAATATTCTCCAGTTTACCCCTCTTTAGTATGACTTTTGAAGGGAGGGAAGTGAAGTCAGGTAACATGACTGGAAACCAGCCAGATTACATTCTTCAAGTGTAGGTAATCTAGAATTAGATACTCTCCCTCCTCCCTATACTCTCCCTCCTCCCTATCCATATCCATCTCACAGACTTAAAATATTTATTGATAATACCAGATATCAGACATTGTATTTCATGTATTAATGTGATGTGTTTTCTTACTACTCTGAACTAAGTCTCTTCAGCTCTTGCCTTTGCTTCTACGTTATAATTTTTTTTAAATCCATATTCCTAGCTTATCCTCCTCAAATTCCAAACTTTATGACCAGTGTTCCCACTACAAACTGAGACAATGAGATTATTTTGAAACATCCTGGAAGTAACTTTTCCTTCAACATCAGCCCTGCCTCTTTTTTTTCTTTTTTTTTTTCCCCCCACTTTTTCCCTCTTCACAAGTTGGTAAATATTCATCTATGCTTTTACAAGGTCTAACTCAATCTGACTGTTAGCAGGTAATTCTCATTTTATCCATTTCCCAAACTAAAAATACTGGTTTCTTATCAGTTCTTTTTCCTATTCTTCAGAGCCTATGAAGAATGCTTATTTGCTCTTTCTTTTGAAATAGTTAATCACCCAGGCTGGTGTGGAGCCCATTTCTAACAGGACTGTTTCTTCTTTCTGCAGAATACAGATCCAATACAGCATTAACAATTTGGAACTGAAGAAACTTTTTACATCCTGCCTGTGCAAACATCCAAGTTGCTTAGACCAGATGACTTTATTACCTTGTTTCTTCAACCACTGCTTTTGAAATCAGAAGCCTTATTTACAGACCTGCTTTGTCTATCCTTCCATTTAAACTTGAGCAACTAATGATCCCTCAAGTCAATGGTCATTTCTATTCTCATCCATAACATCTTCATTACTTACCAAATTGAGTTTAAAATAGCATCCCCTCTTCATGAGTCAGTGAGTGTTTGATGAAGAAATTTGTCGGATACCACATCCAGGAATATCTGGGCCCCACCATTATTACTAGCAATTCTTCTCCAATCTGTATCAGGGAAGTTAAAGTCTCCCATAATGACATAATTCCTGGTAGTAATTTTCTCTAACAAGAGTAAAGAGATCTTTAATCCATAACCAAATCTCACTTTGGGGATAGCTCATGACTCTATGGTTGGAAAAAGATAAAGCTGTTTACTAAGTTACTTCTGCATTATTCCTTTTGTACAATACAAGTGGAATAAACAATGCTGCTCCTACTACTTTTATTTCTACAGTTATTCAACATGCACATTCTTCAAAAACCTATATTCAGCCTTATCATTTATTCCTCCACAGCAATGTCTCACCAGTTCTACGCTATCCCAACAGTTCAGCTGTGTCAAGCATTTTCAGCCATGTTCCCCATTTGGGAAGTTTGGATTTCTTTGTTTTTTTCAAATATGGGGGTGGGGAAAGACTTGGTATTTTTTAAAAAAATATTTCTATCATTTCTCACTGACTACACCCACTTTCAAGCAAGACTGTCATACCACTTTATCACCTACATTAAAGGTGATCTAATTTCAGTGTTTTACCTGTCCTTCTCTTTCTGGACTAAGATATGCTTTTTCCTTGCCACTGTGTTGTCTTCTTTCTTTTCTTGAATAGGAAAAGACCTAATTCCTCAACCCATGCTGTAATTTCACTAGCCAGTTCCTTTTCCTTCCAAGGGTATAGCTATACAAAGACCCTATTATACTCTTTTAGCAACTGTCCAGTTTCATGTGTGTGCTCTTAAAACCTAGATTTCAGTAACATGATTCAGGTCTACCTTAAGTCTGAATCACTTCTGTCACAAAGTCTGCTGGAAGACAAATAAAACAATGCCACCTATTCTTTGTTGCTTTACAACACTTCTCACACATTCCAGCATCTAGTCATTTGTGACATTCGAGCCTTTTCTACTGCCACGACAATTCAGCCCCTTTGTTCTTGTATTAATAAAAAATAACAAAAAGAAATTCCACTCTACAAATTGCTCATCTCCTGCAGGAGGTTACTCATTGCTCTAGGTATGAAGCCCTCTTGGACAGTGTGTTGTTTAGGCCAGCTATGAACTAGCAGCAATCATATCCTCAGCCTCATTCCCTCTTGCAACAGACTGAAGTCTCGGTAACACTTCAACATACCCCCTTGCAGAACACACAAACTATAGACAATTCCAAGTAACATACACATTCCTTGACAGTGTCCTTTCTCACCAGGACAAACACTGTGTAAAACCTAACACTACTGTAGTCTTAGTTGCCATGTTCCCCATAAAGTCCTAATAATCTTCTTGGCCCTGGTACAGCTCTGTTTTTTCAGAAGGGTCAATCCCCTTCCAATTATAAGCCTGCCATTTTAAACAGTCAACATTTACACTGCATTAGAACATAAAAGTCCCCATTAGCACAGGGAATAATAAAGAGATGAAGACTCGGATGAATTAAATTACAACAGAGTTGCCAAAAATAACACAAAATTAATCACACTCAAAGCTGTTACATACTGTCACTGTGTATTTGCTCACGGATTTGCATGTTTTAAAAAACTCATCTTAAAAGACCACAAATCATAGTTAAGTACCTTGTCTCAAAATTATAAAGCATGAAGTATTTTTGAAGAATAAATAGGTCATCATTTCTTACCTGCCACAGCTCCAAATGCCAAAGACCCGCTCATCTGCAGAGCCTGCTGTGCAGCTGGGGGAATCTGCAAACCAGTACCTAGAGCAAAATATGAACATACCCTGTAGCAAGCACTTTTCACTTACTTAGGGATGCAGTCTTACTGTTGTCAAAAGCTTAAAAATACCATTCCATACTTTCAGCATGATATTCTGTGAGGTGTATTAACTCAAATTCTGTATTTTCACACTCTGCCTACTATCATCACACGTACCTTCTGCAAGTCTTGCCATCAACTGAAGGCGACCAGTTGTTCCCAAGTCAATTCCAGTCCGTTCCAACTCATCACTGTCCAAAAATGAACTAGCACTGGAAGCATCAGTGCGCTCAGTTACATGTCCAACTTTCATTGGCCTACCAGCCAGCTCAAATCCATTAAGTTGTTCCAAGGCCTTTTTGGCACACTCAGAATCTGAGAACTGTAGATTGGAAAAATAAAAATTCAGTAATTCTGCCTACAGGATTCAAAACCACTTCTATTGTATGTAATATCCACAGTTACATAAACATGAGAAACACTAGATTTAAGGTAAAGGTAGTTACAAGCTAACCTAAATGTGCTCTGTATTTTCAATTTAAACTGAAGACACACAAGATTGGATATTTACTTTCTCATATTTAGAAAATAATATATTTAAATTACTGTCAAAGCTAGAGCATCTAGATATTGCAATCAACAGAAGTCACAGCTGCAGTTCCCTTTCAACACTTTCCAATAACGACAGTCACTTCCTTTGTAACCTTGTGTTTTGCCAATTATTAGGCCTAGCATAAAGGACACAGCCAGCATAAAGATGAACCAATAACCAAATTGTACTTGATACAAAAGGGTCAGTACATGGGTGAGCGCTGGGGGTACAAACAAGTCAGTAAGATTATACATAATAGATATCAATCCCACTGACCCCAACAACACCACACGACCAACAATGGGTTGAATAAATGGTGAAATGCAGTCTCCCAGGAGACAACCGAGTCAACAAGCCAAATACATAAGACCAAGGAAGCCACACACTGACTCTCTGCACAGCCCACGTTTACAAAGGCCAGACCTGACTGGAGCATAGTCCCAGGGAGGCGGGAGGTCCTTCCCCAACAGGGAACTCTGCACAGGGCATCCACCTCACAGACAGACACTGCCCCTGCCTGCAAGTGGTCCCAGCTTTTATCCCCAAGTGGGACACCTGACCTTGGGTTACTTACTGCAGACACCTGGGGCTCCTTTACCCAATGGCTCTCCCTGCCAGGCCGGCCCACCCTGGAGGGAAGCCTAAAGGCAAACTCACCCCCGCTTTGTGAAGGACTGTGGGAATCACCCACATGTCAACCTTAATTTGGGGCTTGGGGTTGAAACCCCAGCATTTCACATTTAACTGCCATGCAGTTACTGGCTATTTAACAGATGTTCTGCTGTACATCAAATTAAATATACTAATATTCTGTCAGTGTTAAAACCATCAAATATTAGGCATATAGTTAGCCTGGTTTCACTTGTCACCAAGTGCCAGATGTCCCAGCTGAGACTTTCTTTCCCCCTGACAAATTGCCAGGTCAATCAAGAAACCCAAGTTCACAAAATCATGTGTCCAAGGGGCATGAGGAAAGATGTTTTCAACTGAAAGTTTTAACCTCTGAAACTTATTTCCCTTAAAAATCTCAAATTCAATCATTTTCACAGGACCCACAATACCCACAGAGAACTGGCACAAAGGAAAAGGCTGGTGTTGTATGTCCTGCAATATGACATTTCTAAGATGAGACTTAACAGACTGGTGAGTAACCTATACTACTTCATGGGTAGGTTATACTCAGAAATGTCTAAGTCGTCCGGCAACTCCAGTCATACCGTAATAAATCCATATCCTTTTGAGCGTCCAGTTTCACTATCCATCATCAGCTGAATGCTTTCAATCTAAAAATAAGAATAAAGCTGTTTATTATTAGACATTTTGGAACAAGACACAAGATAGCACAACAAAACCTGAATACAACCCTGCCAAATATACATATAGAAATTTTTTTTAAAATCAGTTTCTCAGTCCTTCAAGTCAAAATTAGTATACAAGCAGCTAGGTAAGTATTTTGATACTAAACCAGAAGCAGGTAAACATAAAGCATAAATTGTACATCACTTTTGAGTCCAGCTACAGGCAGAGGCTTGGTCCTGACACAAAATTCTAGCAAAGAGCATGCAGACATCATCAAATCCTAACTGAAACACTGCAGTCATAGAATCTCATATACTGAGAATCTCCATTTAACAGTAAGGTACGAAAAGCAGTTTGCATGACTTTGACAAGGGACTTTAAGAAAAAGGTGCATATTTTAAATAATTCTTGGCATATGGGAACTCCTAGAAGTTTACAGATACTGAATTTAAAACATAGCAAGTCATCCATAAGCCATAAAAAGTTTGGGAAGAGAGAGCAACACAGAAGTAAGAGGAGAAACTGAGTTTACGATGGGAGTATATGGAATCAGAAAGAAAAACCTTCACAGCTCTACAGTAAGCCTCCTAAACTACGTTAATCCTACTGCCAGACCTCAAGAAAAAACAAACCAAGAACAGCCATGCGCATTAATATTTAATAAACTGATGCAATTTTCCAGGCTTTTGCACAACAGAATTAAAGGCATACACATACTGAATCTGAAAAAAGCATCTAAAAAGCACTGTTACAGTATGTATGAGGCAGGATTAATAACCAAAGATAGTATGAAAAACCAGCAATGGACTTGGTAATTTTTACTTTTTTCTATTAACAGCATATTAAGTATACTACTTTCTCCCCCTATCTAATAATGATATACCCAAGTTACCTTAGTTAGGACAGTAGGGCTAATATTTATTGTAACTCCACCGTAAACATCAGTTTCAATCTGCTCACTTCTGCAACTCTCTCTACAAAACCCTATTACCATGTTGCAAACCAGAGCCCAATGATGAGGAGTGAAAAGGGGCCTGTGTCAGACCTGTACATGACATACCACTAGTTCAAGGTAGCAACATGAGCCAAAACTTAAAACAAATCCTTAGAAACAGATGAAACTACTACAGTCACAGTGAACATAACTCTGACCCAATTCTGTGCTTTGTGCTTTTAACCTGTGATATAGGACTCACAATCACAGGGAGATTGGGGAGAGATGTTTACAAGCTGCAAAAGCAGGATAGAACATACGGACTTTGGGGGTTTGTTTGTGTTTTGTTTTGTAATTTTAGGTATTCACTGAATTCTCACCTTTCCTTCATAAGACCTGCCATTTAAAAATCACTGGATCACATCACAAGTCAAGGTTCTGATTTGTTCTGAAATACTATGGAACTGAAGCCTCGTGGGTGTACAGTCACAGAAGAGTGAGAAAAAGAAACCAATGTTTTGCAGGTGTGAAGTTGAATTATTTCCAGAACCTGCAAGCACTCCACAACCAATCTTTTTCAAATAAACTACTGCAACACAAGCCAAATTAAACTTTACCCTGCCAAATGGCTCAAAAATTCCTCGAAGCATATCTTCAGTTATGTTGAAGTGTAGTGATCCCACATAGAGCCTCATAGGACCAGCACTGCCCTTCTGCAAGTTATTTGCCATTGCTGCTGCTCTGTTTTTCTCTGCCTAAGGGAAAAAGAAAAACTCACCTTCCGTAAGAATTTAATAAAACCCCTAACATAAGCACTATAAATCTATCAGATTCAATAAAAAATACAAGCTGTTTTATAATCTGCACACTATCCATCAGACTTAACTTAAAATCTACAAAATCCAAGACCACAATCAAGTATACAAAGCTTCCAAAAGCCCTCAAACTGAACAACTTCATGCAGAATTGTGGCTTGTATCCAGTAAATGAACACTTTACTTTTTACCTATGCTGGAAAGCATACATAATATATACTACAATTCTGTAACACTATTACAGTTTCATTATTACTACTTTCTTAACATCTGTGTTTTCAAAATGCATTTAAATCACTTTGATTTGCCTGTCAACTATGGTAAACAAAGGTCCCTTTATAATTAGCTTAAATTATCAGTCTTGTTAAGGTTTTCCAAATGTTCAGTGGTAACCAACTTTTCAAACAGTTTTCCAGCAAGATAAAAGAGGCACTACTCAACAGGAACAAAAATGACATTTACAACTCCTTACCTGTGATGCTTGTACTATGATTGGTACACCCAAGACTCTCTGTCCAGTTAGTCCTATTGCCAGAGGCACTGAACTAACATCAACAAATTCTACATAAGCAATTCCCTTTGAGCGCCTGGAATTTCTATCTGAAATCATTCGAACGTCACGAACCTGAAAGACAAGTACAGAAATACTGTTAGAGATAACAGAAAAAACTAATGCAGTCCATTTCTCAGAAAGGTATTAAGAGCCAGACAATTATTTGCCAAGCCAGCGGCTTTGTAATTATTCTACAAAACTTGAGTAGCACAAACCTATCTTAATAAACATGTCCCAGAGGGAAGCTAGCATTAAGAGCTGACATTCAAAGACAAACGTAGTATGCTACAGGAACAGGGGCAACAGAATACTTGCAGCACTGTAATGCTTTAAGCCAGGACCTTACAGCTGATGGAACAAAAAAGTTTTCAAAATTAAAAGTTAAATGAATTTTTAAATTACACTATAACTGCAGACCTATCTGCAAAAGACAAAGTTTGAGAAATGCAGTTGTTTGAATCAGAATTGTATTGCTATGTTTTGCATCAGATCACATGCTTATCAATTAATTCCTAGTAAATTGTTTTCATGCTCAGACCCTTTAAGAATTGGCTGATCATTCATCCCCCATTCCACCTGTACAGGAAGTTCCAGAAAGCCACTTGCTTACAATTCTACAGAGTATCAATCCTGTACTAGGACAGCTTGAGCAAGTATTCAGTAATATTTTAACATCACAATTAATTACCTTCCCTACTGTAGAGAAAAATTCTTCCAGGTCTCTCGGTCGAATTCTTGCAGCCAGCTGCATGCAAAATACTGTTCGAGCATCCCTCTCTTCAGGGGTAAGATTATCAATAGGTTCTCTGAAAAGAGGAAAGTTCACTTAGAAAAATAATCCAAAATAAGGTAACTCACCTCTGAACCATGCATGGAATTTAAAAGTATCAGTACTTCATAGTCTGATGGGGAAAGAAAACCATTCACAGTATTAAAAATGGCAGGGTTCAGAACCAAATACCTAGTATTAATATGATAATAATACAATTTACTATTTTAACATGACTAAACATCCTGTTTCAACTATAAATATATAAAATTGTATTTTAAGTACAGAAGCCTCAATCAAACAAGGATGTCATTTGCTACTGTCCAGAACAGGTAACAGTAGCACTATTGAGCCTGCAGTCAAAAAGATGAAAGGCCAGGAAAACAAAGGAAAATGGGATTAATTAGCAAAGGCTAGCTGTCTGGACTCTCAGACAAGTAATACAGATTTTTTTGGTAAGATTTTAGTTCGCAAAGCAACATCTACCCAGTCACTTTGGAGTCATGACAGCCACTGCATAAACAATACTAACATCTATACAAACAGAATTCCAAGTCTTCATTTTAGATTCAGCTAAGTCATAAGAAAGTATGAATAGTGAATAATTACTCTCATCCTTGACACCAGAAGCACTGAATTAATTTTATTTCAATACCAACCGTTAGCTGAAATTAGATGCACCACTTCTAAGGTGTTAAAGCTTCAAGTCTAAAAAAAAATAATATCTGACTTGTACTTAAGTACAGGACAGAATTAGCTTGCCTGAGCCTGGACTGAATTTTCAGTCATGTAATATGTATTTACATTTTTATAAGTATTTTTTAAATATTACTGAGAATACACACATAAAAAAAAACCCTACACTGTCTCAGTGAGAGTTTGCTAATAATTAAAAAAAACAAATCAAGACTGGTTAAATTTAACTGCATTAATTTGGAGACTAAGCTCATTAGCAGCTATCTAAATCCAATTCCCTTAAATGAGAAGCGTAAGAATGGATAAGCACCTCCTGGATTTCAGTGGTACTTGGCTTCTCTACAAATAACATCCATATACACTGAACAGGAAAAAGAAGCACTTGTGCAGTACTTTTTCATTCTGTATTTAATATTATTAAGATTCAGCAGAAAAGCTAGCCAACTTAAATCACAATTAACAGGAGAAAGATTTGAGAACACAGAAACACAAAAAGCAAAGCAAGACATGCTTTGCAAACTGACATTATTTAAAACTGTACACTGCTGGGGGTGGGTGGGGGAGACACAGTTTATGACATGGAGAAAGCAACATGTTTTCAATGCTCTCCTGTTGTGGGCTTTCTGCATGAATTCCAACATTACTCGTGAATATAAACTGGAGCGCAAGTAGTCATGCATTGTTTCACCATTACTCTTCCAACTCCAACTGCACAAAAAACCCACCCAAATGTGTGTGAAAATTCCTACCTAACAGGGCTCTTGTCTTTTCTGAAGGGACTTTTGCTTCTGGAGCGTCGCCTGCTATAAAGAGAGATTAAAGAGATTGTAAGAAAACCTTCAAATACACCAGTCTGATTTTAATCAAAACCTATTAATGATACAATAAAAAGTAGAAAAAAAACTCAGAAACCTTAATTTGATGCTGTGAGGCAGACCAATCTTCCCTCTGATGGCACTGTTGAATTTTGGACCAGAACTACAGCAAAAATCAAAGACAGACATTACTCACCAGAGTACCTGAATTCAAGACTTCCTGTCTGTGCTCACATTACACTGCAAGTGCTCACCCACCCTTGTACCTGAACTTATAAACACTTTCCATTAGCAGCACCCATAACATGCATAGTTACATGCAGCACCCCAAACCATAAGGCATAGAATAGGCTCCCTGCTCAGCTTCATCTGCATCACAAAACCCCAGAATATGCAGGACTCCAAGGAAGGACTGAATCATGAGCCAGCCAGATATGACACATTTGTATGTGCAAAATATTGTGAGATACAGTTACTGTTGTAATCTTCTTTATGTGTTTTTTTTGTCCACCTGCATATTCTACCTACTGATGACTGCAAAGCAGTACCCTAATGGCCTGGAACTCAGCCTCAGAGTTTTGGGCAAACTGGTGCTGGCAAGACTATCTGCTAAAGCTTAACATTTTAAAACTGAAAGTTTAGTGAAATTTAAGGTGCAACTGGAAACCACAGTAGCTTCCTGCAGACATATGCAAGGGACATATTCACTAATGTCTCAGCTCTAGCCACTAAAGTGCTATGAATATGTAAATATAGCTTCCTTTACTTAGGAGTTTTTAATGGACATCAAAACACTGAACCATATAAGCCAGCAGTTAGCCTTATATAAACATGTCACCACAGAAGGAATCCAGTCTCTTGGCTGAATCTAATTTTAGTTCTCCAGGCTTCACAGAGGCTGTTACAACAAACGGCAATTTGCCCATAGCTTCCATGTTAAACAAAGTTCTCTTGCTAGTTATTGTGCACAGGTAAAAGATTGTGACATGAACAGTAAGATTCATCCTATCATGTTCTCCCTGAATTTTATCTCCTTGTAGATACAAGGCAAAGAACAACACCTGTTAACATTCTTCCTGTATATCCACTGAATGGCAGAGGCACTGCTGCACAGACTGAATGCTAGGGGGTTTGTCGTTCCATCGGCACAGAATTAATTCTTTCTGCTGTGGCTATAAATTGATGTGAAAACACCCTGAAAGACACGGCAGTCTGACGACATTAAGGAGTCTTTCACTAAATCCATTTAGCCAACCAACTGGTCTGATAAAAGTCTTCTTCCTACTCAGTGGAGCAGTAATGCTTAGAGTTAAACTCAGCATCCACAACAAGGAGGAGAATGCCTATTTTTAAAGATGTCATGACACAGGTGGAAGTAGTGGGCCAAGATCCAAAACCGTGCTGGCCAGGTTAAAGCAAGGGAAATATGGCCCTGTATGACACTGGAAAAAAATAAAGAAAAAAAGACCATTTAGAAACTACTTATTAAGAGAAAATAAGACATTAAAAATAGGCACATGTTGAGATGAGATCACTATTGATCAAAACCAGACTTTTTTTGCTTAAGATAAATTACTCCACTTCCTACTCAAGTTCAGAGAAATGCCTGCTGGGAGCATGGTTCAGGTTCCCCAGTGCCTATGACACATACTGCCAAAAGCTGCCCCTGGAATGTTGGTACTAATTCCAGAGGCTGGCTGCTTATCAGAGCTGGGATTGTCTTGCATCTTTACACACGTCCTGATTGAAAACACAGTGCTCTCCATTTCAATTCAAATGCAGCAAGACAAACCAATTAGTTACTCCAGAATACTAACATGCAGACCAACTAAATGATGATCAATAATCAAGACCATGAGTTTTTAAGGAAACGGTGAAAGAAATGTTTTAAGTGTTTGTCCTAACCTAATGAAAAAACCTGAGAAGATACACAATAAGAGTTTTCAAATACACACAACTCCCAAGAAAAAAAATCATCCCCCCACAACTCCAAAAATCTCTTCCATTTTCACTCGATAAATAAGTGGTATCTTATTTATATGGCTACATGGGAGAACCAGGGAAAAAAAAAAAAAAAAACAGCAAACTAAAGCTGTAACAGACCACTGGAATGGACTGAGCAAAAAGCTGCCTGCGGCAAGATGATGATGCAAGTTACCATCTGAGGATCCTTTTTCAACAGTACTCTGCAGGATGTATTTCTCTGGGTTTTCTTAAGGAGGTTTGTTAGATCTCAGGGGAATTTTCTTCTTTCCTCCTATTGCCTAAGAACTCTTTGCAATTGCTGCCCAGTTCCTGCTATCATGTATGGAAGTATCAAGTCACAAGCAATTTATGTCCAGGGGTTACCTTCTCCATCAGCCAAATGCACTGTGTACAGCCAAAGCACAGATAGGTACATGTTCTCCAAAACCTACGTGATGCCACATGGCCCAAGAACAACAGCCAGGTCAGAAGACAGTAAAATATCAGCTTGCACCTGCTCAGTCATATACAAGACTCCAACAAAATTCTCAGACAAGGCAAGCTTGGGCTAACAGTCCAGGAGAATCAAGATGCACTTTCAGTCCTCATGTAATAACCCTGTTTGCCCAACAGCTTTGCCCAAATTCTTCATTTTATAATAGCAACAGAACAGTCTAAGTGCCTTCTACTGTATGTTAGCAATAGTTGGTATTTGTCAGACAGATGTCTAAGCAAGAAGTTCTTTCTCCTGATCTAATAATGTATCTGCAGAAGGGGCAAGAATGAGAAGAATAACACTTTAAAATCCTGTGAACACTGAGCAATGCAAGCTAGTCATCCAATCTTAGAAAATTAAAATGTTTAATCACTATCTCATGCTTAAAGTTGACAAATTCAAAGTCCTCGGGTTCTGTCACACTCTTCCTTCAGAATTACCTATACTAGACTTTCTCTTCTCACTATTACAGAGATGCTTCCACATCACCCCTGGCAGCAAAAACATCTTGGTTTACAAAGTGGCTTGAAAAGGGGCCTTAATAGAGCAAGTAAGAAAGATCATAAGGAGAAAGAAGAGTAAAAAATAAAACTCAAAAAAAAATAAAGCTACAAAGCATTTTGAACTCAATGTTGCAGCCAGCTACAACACTGCCTGAAGTACCACCAACTCAGAACTGTCTGAACAGCCCCACAAGGTGAGAATCCAGATTCAAATGCTCCAGCCAGTGAGAGCATTCTGGCAGTTACTTGTGAAACTCTGAGCTGATGGAACTGCTACAGAGATGGTTTCTTCATATGGAAGCACCTTTTTTGTAGATTCAAAGATATCTGATTCAAAGGAGTCTGATGGTGTGGAAGGCTTCATCTCCAGAACTTGTGTCTTCCTGAAAGTCAGCATCTGTTATACAGCTTTTAGAGGTGAACATCTACCTCAAAGAGTCCTAAACAAGAAATTAAGAATTCTTCACTCTCCTATCTTCTGAGGTCCTTCTCTTTCACAACTTCTAGGCCAAAAGTACAAATCCAGAATCACATTAGCATGTATATCACTTCAACAGTGTCATCCATGACCTACAAGTGAACAACAGCCAACTGCTGGCTACCCAACAGTCACCTGCACCTAGTTGCCTTACAATGCACCTAGTTGCCCTACACCAGTGCTGCACTAAACTATTTTAAATGCTAAAATTCTACTTGGTTAAATGAAAGCATTAATTCAAGAACTGAAGCAAAGAACACAACATTGCCAAACCAATAAGCACAAGCTTGTATTCTGAGGGGATACTAGATAATCACACTTTTTTGTTCACTGTCTTCTCAATATCAGACAAATTGCCCAGAAAAGCTATGGAACAGTATCATAACAACTGAAAATACCTCTTGCAATCATTTACCTTCCTGGTGCAACCTATCAATGCATTAGAACAGACATGGGTTACTGTAGTAACATCCATACTTTCAACCTCTACTTGAGGAAATTCTTTTGGAAGACCAGAACACAAACTCCCAAATTTCTCCAAGTGAAGAACCTTCGCACCACGTGCCAACGGAAGAAACAAATGATAAAACCTCCCAATGCGGCAGATCCCAACCAAGAGGTTAAGATGGAGGACATGCTCTGGAGATGACATGATACTGGAGGTGAAAAGACTGGCAGGCTCCACATACAGAAGGCTGAAGATCTTGATGAAGGTCCTCAGTTCATGACTCAATCTGGAGCCACAACAGTGGCACTGGCACAACCCACCTTGCTACTGCAATCTTACAGGTGCCCAGAGCAGCTTTACAGAGGCTCTGAAAGGCTTGATACTCGAGACGAAGTAATAATCAGAGCTCTTACGCTCTATGATCCCCAAGTACACAGGACTGTTGAAAGCACAGGATGCCACTGCATCTCAGAAGATCCAGGAGCTGCAGTATGTTTTCAATACGAAAATGCCAACATCTAGGTGACTTTGATGTTGAGATCCTGAGACCTCAGGCATTTTTCATCTGTATTCCATGAGCACCAAAAGGAATGTGTTCCCTGGATTGGGACCCAGCCACCTAGAAAAACATTCATATGCAGAAAACTGTACAAGCCTGCAATTTATCAGAGGTAAACACCGTGTTCTCAAACATCTTGAGAGAGATTTCTCCATCACGGATGACATTACATGCCATGATTAAAAAAAAAAAAAATCCTTTCCAAATGCCTGCCCCTGACATGATCTTGCATTCTGAGATTTGACAACAGTTGAGATGAGACCCAGACAAAAGAAGACACAAACAGCAGCCTCAGGTAATCAATGAAAGCCAAGCATATAGCCCAGTTCTCACTGTTTTTCTGTTTCTTTGAAGGCAAAAAGAGGTGATGGAGAGCAAATGGGAGGGCAGAAATACAAAACAGCAGAAACACAGAATAAATACTGATGAAAAAATGGTTATTGAGAAATGATTTACAACTGTTGGGAACTAGCTATAGCAGAAGTTCTATCAAGCCAAAGGTCTGAGAAGAACTGAAGAATTAGCCTCTAAACAAGTTTGAGAAAAAGCAAATATGCAACGCATGGGCATTACTAAAACAAGACACTTCCAGTTTGGATGCCTAAACACAGGAAGTGTTTCTGCATAACCATTTAAGAGCAGTAACCCCGTAAAAACTTTTTACTACTTTTTGAGTTACACATTTTATGAGTCCGTAACAAAGTCACAGACTACTATTCATTTTTTGACAGATAATTGCCAGGTTGATATGCTGGATAGTTAGGACATGTAGTAAACTTGCTCGTTATTTTAATTTTGTAATAAACTTTGCCTTCCAGTCAGTGGTACACATTCACTTGCTTTTACATCTTTCTGCATTTGGGTAAGAATGAAAACTAGCAGGAGAAACCAAGTATGTTATGTCCTCCTCTTTTTTCACTCCATATTTATTGACACTGTTCAACCTTAATCTCTCAGCTTCTTTTTTGAGATTAGTAACTGATTTAGAAAGCAGAGAGTGAAACTTTAAGCTTCCGCATCATACAAAGCAGCAGCACACATGCAACCCTACATAAATAACCTACTAGGGACTCCTATAGCGGCCTCTGAATCTGCGATCTCTACTTCTAGAACGGCTGCGTCTGCGCTCTTTGCTTCTGCTCCGTTTCCTTTCCCGGCTCCTGCTCTTCTTCCTTTCCCGATCTCGGCTCCGTTTGCGTTCCTTACTTCTGCTCCTCTTCCTGTCATGGCTTCGACTTCGGCTCTTGCTCTTTTTTCTCCTGAGAGACACAAATACAGCTTTGGTTACACATGTAGTTCAGGGTTATTATTTATCTCACATTCCACAGTTCCGCTAACCTGGTGTCACAGACATTGATAAAAAATTTCTAACCGTTGCTATTTATACAAGTTTCTTTTGTTAAATGGGCAGTTACGCATCTCAGCAATCTTTTAAAATTTATCATGCTCCAAAGCACTTTAAATTCTGTAATCACATTTCCAAGAACAGTAGGACTGAAAAAATATTTCCTGCATTAAATCTAATACATACTAAATGCAGTACTTCATGTGCCTTTCAAACATACATTAAATACACCATCAAGATGCTAAAATGAAATTATATTATACAGAAAAATAAACCAAAACACAACAAAAACAGAAAGGAAGAGACAAGTCTGAGGGCAAGTTGTTTTCTCTTGATACTCCCTGCCAACAGTCTTAACACACTACACTGGCTAAGATTTTACCTCCTATTTGCTACTCTCACTCATAACTCCCTTGTTTTTCTAAGTCTGCTGCTCTTACAGGTTTGGGGCAAACTGCAGATCTTCATAATTTTAACTATTTACTAAGAAAATGAAAACTTTAATAATCGGTAAGTCAATTATACCTCATATTTGAAAAACAGTGAACCACTGTTCCATTCTTGGCAGATTACTGTGTTATTTACAATTTTTTTTTCCTATCTCAGTCTCAGACTATAAAAACTTGAGTCTCCTTAGTTTCTGAAATATATAGGTAAGTATACATAAAACACACATTGAACAGGTGCTCAAGCAATTATTTAAGACAGTAATTTACCTCAAACTACGTTTTGGGAATAACCAACAGCTGCTAAACTTCAGAAATTCAAAACATCCTTCATTTCCGAATTTTTCCTCTCCCCCTTTTGGGCACTTTGATTATATACACCATCTTTTTTCAAAGTGTTCACTCCCACACTTAGATCTCTGTATGTTGCCACCTCCCCTTTCTAAAAAAGTTCAGCCCTGTTAGCTTATACATGGCCATCGAAAGTAAGACTTCTAGTTAGTTTCAATTACTAAATTAAAAATCTCTCAGCTATTATATCTGAGCCTAACCATCACTAGCAGCTTTTGTTGTTCTATCTCCACCTCTGATGACCCATTTAAACTGTATTTATCGCTCAAGAGAAACATTTTGTGATTTGGTTTTAAAAACTGGAATATTTCCTTTAATTGGCTGCTTATCTAAAATACCCCAGCAGTTTCTCTAATTTTTTTGTATGGATGGAGAAGCTGCTGTATCAAAACCAGATATTCAGAAGCTTCACCATCCCTGATGAGGTGACACCACCCAGAAATCCAGACTGGTCCACATGAACGTCACTTAACCACACTTCCTATCGTAATGCAGTTTGTCACAGGCATGCAGTGTCTCTCCGAGGATCCATCACTTACCAGTATCTCCCTAAATTAAAACCCTCATAATAGCTCTGAAAAATACTACCTGTAGCTCTGTATACTGGACAGTACCACTAACTAATAACTGCAGCTAATATTGTCAGTAAAGAGAGCAACCATTCACTATCCAACTGTGAGCTGAACCCTTTTTGCATGCAGACTCCTAACAGTTAAGATCCATGTTCTGCCTTTCAATCACATTATTAAACTGGACATACAGTATAAGCATGTAGTAAAATTGCAGATTCTTAACTTTCTAAAACAGAAATTTAGCATGATTGGACAATTTTGAAAGCTGCACACTGAATCTAATGTTATTTTTCAGTTGTTGATATTTGTTGTGGATTACAGATGTCATGACAGTTTTCAATCTTCTTTCAGTATTGTCCAATTGAAGTAGATCAAGACTATCCTCTAGATTCTGACACCTCAAGCAATTTAATTGATAAGCAAAGCAAGAAGCCTTGTAAAGCTGATATACACCTTAACCTTCAGCAACAGAGTACACTATCACAAGTCACATACAAAATGGTGATTTGTTCTTTAAAGATTATGGGGAACAACAGCTGTATCAAATCAAAACTCTGGAACAAAAAAGGCTTCATACTATCACAGAACTGCAGTACAAGAATAACTAAGCTTCTAGCAATTGCGGAGTTGAAAACTGAAATGGAAACCACAAGAGCAACATTTCTCAACAGACACAAGGGGTATAATTAGTAAAGCAGAAAGAGGTGAAACTGCACGACTAATAGCAGCAAAACAACTCGACTTTCTTCTATTTTACAGTAAGATTTTCTTCTAGACTTGAATTTACTCGTTTTCTGAGTATAAACACAAACTCAGTGCATACAGGTCCAACTTGAAAATGGGACCATGGAGAGAAAGATAAGAAATGTCATTACTTTAGTCTTGAAGTTACAACAACTAAAGAAAATTAACTGAAGTATTCTATTACTCTCATCATTATACCATGAACCAAGGTCAGAACCAATTCTAAAATTTTAAAACCACTGCTGCTTTTCTTTCAGATCCCAGTTTGTATTTTGAGACTAGCCATCCAAATAAAAGCAGTGTTTTACATGCCGTGTATATACTTTAAAGCAATAGAAATTCAGAACTTAAAAATATTGGGAGAAGCTGCTTTTGATGGGGTTTTAGCAGTCTTGAGTATTTAGCATGATAATGATGTTCACATTATTGTCTAGAACACAGATATAAGGTATAATCAATTTTAGATTATTCAATTCCAATTTAAGTCTGATGTTGGAATTTGACTTTTCATGTGCCAAATATTTATATACCTAGGAAGAAATGTTCCTTGGATCCATACAGCATTTCATCTGTACTACTTCAGAAGATGACAAGAGCGTACATGCTCACTTGGTCAGTTAGGTGTGTATTACACAAACACACTGGTTACTGTTCACTTGTCTATCAAATCAATATTATTCTTCCTACAGCAACTAACAAGCATCATTTGGTGATAAGGAAGGTAAAGGATTTAACAGACTTAAAAGCCTTCCATTTCAGAGACTTCTATGCAAGGCATTTTTCTTCAAACTTCTGATTTGATTCCAGACTGTTTGGGTCATCAGCAGGTGTTCATACCCTGGTTCCTTAAAGAGGTTACAGTATCATTTTATGAATTTTATATTAGTAACAAAAAATTTAGAAGTTTTCAAATTGGGGGGGGGGGGG